AAGAAAAAGTCCTACTTGTTCTTGGTTAGCTAAAACAACCTTGAGTGGTCGGGGACGTGAATGGTCGGGTATGTCGGATGAGCGCTTTCCAAGTCTAAGGACCGAGAGCACCGAAACTTCCTCATTGGGCCAAAGAAGTTCGTTGAGTAGACACTGGAAGAGCTCCAGGTCTGCCGAAACCCGTTCTTTGAGGGCTCTGCCTGCGGATTCAGGAAGTCCCTGAATGATTTGACATTGTCCTCTGTCCGACGATTCTCTCGAGATCGCAGTGGTTTTGTAAATTTGGCACCATTTACTTTTCAAACTTGTCTCAATTAGTCCACTCTTCGACCATAAATGCTAGTATGATAGACTTAATTTTTACTAATGGCACCTGCCCTCTATCTATGGATTTTTATCGTGGTCTTTTCGCAAGTGATCATGCATTCATTCATTGTCGCCTTCCAGCTGCCATTATAGCAAATCCAACAGTACAACGTGGCACTTTTGACTTTGCCAATATTAACAAGTAATGAGTAAATAATAAAAGCAGTTAATTTAAGTCAGTTTAGGTAACTTTATTAAGGGAATGAGGCTTTTGCCCTTGAGCTCCCTATTCGTATCGATAAACAGAAATAAAGTCATCAGTTACATCAACAAATGCGGAAAGTTCAAAATTTAACGGTAAATGGGAGCCAGGCGCAAACTGAGGCCTCTAAAACAATCATTATTATATGTATCGTAGTTTCTCAACAAATGAGCATCTAGTCTGCACTTAAAGGATTTGACACTTTCGGAAAGAACAACTGCATCAGGGAGTCCGTTCCATGCCCTAATGACCCGGTGAGAGAAGGCATTCCGTCGGACATCCGAATAAACCAGCTTCCTCTGCAGTTTGAAGGGATGACCACGCAGACGGTCAGTCCCGGCCAATTCGAAGAATTCATCAAAGTCTAGGGCACACTCACGACCTCTGACAATCCTGTAGGTTTGAATGAGATCGCCGCGCAGTTGCCTGTAATTTAGGGGAAACAGATTTATTTCGGTCAGTCTGGTTTCGTAAGGCAAATGATGAAGATTCTTGACCATCTTCGTAGCCATCGCCTGTACTCTTTCCAGTTGTTGATAATCCATTCTCAACCACGGTCGCCAGGCCTGGACTGCATACTCTAAGTGAGACCGCACGAATGCCCCATAGGTTTTTCCGAGCAGCTTTTTATCGATCTGCACAAATCCTCGCCTCAGCGCAAATAACACCTTTATCGCACTTTTGGCTGCCCTTTGAAACTGTGATGATGGTTTTAGCGAGGAGGTCATTAGGACGCCCAGGTCTTTCTGTTCCACAACATTTGAAAGGGGCTGACCACCAAGAACGTAGTGAAAGGAATCTTGCTCCTTACTGGTCTTTTTTGTGCGGAGTATCAGGAACACACATTTGTCCATATTAAAATTAAGGAGCCAACGAGCTGACCAACTGTTCAGGCTGTTCAGACTGTCTTGAAGCGCGTACCTGTCTGCGTCAGATCTGATGGCTCTCCACAGCTTAACATCGTCAGCAAACATGATGGCGCTGCATCCCAGGTCGTCAACGCAGTCGTTAATGTACACCAGGAATAGCAACGGCCCTAAGACGGAGCCCTGGGGTACACCACTCAGAACGGGGGTAGGAGTTGACCTTGAGGCCTCAATGCACACGGTCTGCGATCTCCTGGTAAGGAAATCTGCTATTCGCGTCAGCAGCCTTTCTCTTATCTCAACTTCAGAAAGTTTGTAGATTAGGCGTTTGTGTGGGACGCTATCGAACGCTTTCTTAAAGTCTGCGTAGATGACATCGACCCTACCATCCTCGTCCAGAGCGCGAGTCCATTGCTCCGTCGAGAGCAATAAACTGGAGAGGCACGAGCGGTTCTGTCTGAAGCCGTGCTGCAGGTCTGAGAGTAAATGCCCATGCTCCAGGAACTTCATTGTTGTTTTCTTAACTATGGCCTCCATTATTTTACAGCAGATACAGGTTTGACTGACAGGCCGGTAATTGTTAGCATTAGTGCGAGCCCCTCCCTTGTATATCGGAAAGATATTTGCTGTCTTCCATTCCGATGGCAGCCTCTCTAATTCGAATGACGAGCGGAAGATGTGTACCAGTGGTCTGGAGAGTTCATTCGCCATTTCTTTCAAGAATTTGGCCGGTATATTGTCCGCACCCGAGGATTTTGCTTTCCTGAGATTTTTTCAGCTCCCTTTCCACGACAGATGTCCGAAAAAGTATGGAGTCAAGCACGGGACCAGCGGTCTCGACAGCATTTCTGGCACTGCGACTTATTGAGGCCCGGCGTCCGTGATTTAAGAAGGACTATGAGCATCTGGAACGGGTCCTATCACAAGTATATAAGATATTTAAATAAAAATTAGACCCCCTTGTGGTGAGAAACTACTGTATATGTAATTAAGACTGTATCCGTGGGAACAGTTTGCGTTGGCCCACACGTGCTAGTGACTTTGCAGTTTTCGAAATTACTGCTATAAAACTGGTTCTATTGCTATTTTCGGATATGAATAGGGGGTTCGGGGACAGAGGCCTTATTCCCTTGATAAAGTGACGCATAACATAATAAGTTTTTACTAAAGACCCGCCGGGGTCCCATCAATGCAACTACAAATAAATTGACTTGTGAATTTTAGACGACGTAGGCATAATCTGTACAAAATGCTATTCATAGTTTCTGAATAAGTAGTCCGTTGAGAAAAATGACCGGCGAGGGGTGAAAAAAAACTCGACCAAAACATTTCAGGAGGATTAGATTAATTTTACAGGAGAAAAAATACCCCTCGATAAAAAATAATAACATAAACGCAAGCAGGACTGGCCTTTATGTGGCAGAATATAACGGATTATAATCGGACAATGTCTGCGCAGAAATAAATGTCAGCCTTGATTATAATCGGACATCGTCAGGGCAGAAATAAATGTCAGCCTTGAGGGGTACGTATGCGGGTCAGACGGGACTGGCCTGCATGTAGTAT